AAACGGAATATATTAAAGACGAGAATATTCCAAACGAGTAGCTAGGAAATCGCGTTTTGGCGAAGGAAAACTTCAGGGTGAGCTATCTGTCAGGACAAACGCACCCTTGATGAAATAGAGTACTTACACTAGACTTCGTACGAACGGTGCCAACGCAAAATATACCATATTGTGATCTGTCCAACAAATGGCAGTGAATTTTGGCCAAGTGCACAAAGTGAAAAGAAGAGTACAGGGTGGACATTGGGCATCACCCTGCCAGATCATGTTGGACATAATCCGAGCTAGGACGAAACTTGCTGCCATCGCCAAGATGGTGCAGCAATTACGACTTTGAAGAAGAAACGAGACCTATTTTACAAGAATGGCAATGACTCCGAAGGCTGCTGAAAAAAGAAAACGAGGAAGGCCAAAGATGAGGTGGATGGATAGAATCAGAACCGACTCGAAAAAGCATAGTAGATGAACACTATGCCTCGAAGCGAACAGACGATTTGTTCAGCAGATTCTGCGTAAGCGGGAAAGATTTTATTGCTTTAGCATTGCTTCCATCCGTTTCTGTTTCGCGTTAGCGTCCTCCACGATGTTGGTATGGAATTGTGACGACGACGTTTGCGAATAGCAGCTGAGAATTTAGCTGGTCCTTCCGCGTAACGAACGCGTCAGCCCAACTGGTTGGTGGCCTCTTTTGAGGACGTTTTGCTTTCCGAGGGATCCATTCCAAAGTTCTTGGTGTCCATCTGTTTGATCTCATACTCGAACTGCGCAGTCCGATGGGATGTTGAGTGCGTCGATTGTGCTTTAGAAGATGTCGTTCCAGCGCTCTATGGGTTCTTTGAAGTGCCTTCGACGTAGCCAAAGTCAGGTCATGTCTGCTGCGTAACAGAGCGCAGGGAGAACGGTTGAATCGAACAGGTGGGCTCGGAGCTCTTGGTCAGTTGGTCTGGGCTTCTTTTAGGGGGCCTGAAGGCGGCCCAAGCTGCTCTTCGCCTCCTGTTTAGTTCTTCTTTCAGATCGCTCTCCATGCGTATCGAATGCCCGAGATATACGTAAGAAGACGTCTCTGCAATTGGAGAGCCTTCTGATTCTATTTCTTGATCCTCGCAAAAAACACCTCATGAACTGAGTCTTCCTCCGGTTAATTCGCAGTTCTATCCGCTTCCCTACTTCTTTTAGTTCTTTCAACATCGTCTCCGCTTCAGTGATACCTTCGAGAAGAGAACAAT